GATAACAGTCCGTAACATTTCCTAATCACTATACAATTGCTACGGGTCTTTATCCTGAATCTCACGGAATTGTTGGGAATGAATTTTATGATCCTGATCTTGATGACGATTTTTATTATACTAATCCTAATAAAAGCTGGGATTCAAAATGGTGGGGTGGTGAACCGGTTAGTTCTTCTATTATTTATTGTTATCATTAGTTGTGTAAAAGTCATTATGTATATTTTCGTAATTAAGTTACGACAATTCGTTTGCTAATTTTTATAGATTTGGATAACTGCTGTAAAACAAGGCCAGAAATCTGGTGTATCGCAATGGGTCGGAACTTCCTCTGTCATTAAAGGACATATTCCAACTTATCATTATCCTTATATTCCTAATGTTACTATTGATGAAAAGGTCGGTCAAATAATGAATTGGTTGGATCTTCCGTTAAATGAAAGACCAACATTCCTTGCTGCTTATGCAAGTGAAGTTGATACTGCTGGTCACAAATTTGGTCCTGACTCTGTAGGCGTAAATGATTCTCTTAAATATGTTGATAATTTTGCGCTTGGCCTTTGGGAAGGTTTAGTTCATAGAAATTTATCAGATATTGTCAATATTATAATCGTTAGTATTTTAAAATTTTATTTGATTTTATTTTTCATTTTATTATTTATTAACTTCTTATTATTTAGGTTAGTGATCACGGAATGGCGCAAACCGTTTCTAGTAATCAAATCTTTTTAGATAATGTTTTCAACGTTTCAAAAGTTCGTCCATTAGAATGTAGACCATTGGCTGGAATTCGTCCTTATAACGACTCTGATATTAATGATATATATTTATCTTTGAAAGATGCGAGTCAAAATCAGCCTTGGCAATGTTATCTTCGTGACGAAATACCTGAACGTTTTCATTTTCGTGCTTCTCATCGTATATCTCCGATCTTTTGTATTCCTCCTGTAGGATGGATTCTCTCCACTCATCGTGATTTTGGTAAATCATCTCCAAAAGGAACTCATGGTTATGATAATCTTGAACCTGAAATGAGAGGAATATTTTTAGCTTCAGGTCCTGTATTTAAGGAAATAGCTTCGAAAAAAAAGACGAATGTAGTAAAAGGTTTTTTTAATTTCGAAGTTTATAATATAGTGGCAAAAATTTTGGGGTTAACTCCCGCTGAGAACAATGGCACTGTTGGTGGAATTCTTTGGAAGAATTAATTTAAAAAAAAAAAATAGATTTTTGGTTCCTTTACATGAAATATTGCATTAAAATAAACTGCATATTCGCAAGTAATGTGTATATATACATAGGAATTACATAACTTGAAGTTTAATAAAAAAAATTAATTTATTAATGTTAATACCGGGTGTAAAGAAATTGAATACGTATCTAAATGTTATAAACATGTGATAAATACATTGTTATACGTTCTTGGTGTTAATGATAAAAATAATACACGGAAAAAAAAACAACTACCAAATTAGGTTTTTAATATCGATCTATATTAATTATAGATTAAAAACGTGATGAATTGCTACGGTTAACGGAAGGTGTTGGCTTTAATTATAGTTACGTATAACCTTATGATCTGTTATGACATTCTACATATATTACATTACGTTTGACCATCTTTGGTCAAATAAAACTGGATTTGACCTAAAATGGCCAACACACTATGATTCACAATGATTGGTAGCAAACAGAGACTATATCAAGTTAATGATTTACTAAATTTGGGAAAATGAATGAACAAAATCTGCCCAAGACCGGATTGATAAGTTTCAGATTTCGGCCGACATTTTCTTAAGATTATCAAAAAATCTTTCAATTGTCACATAATTAATGTATGATAAAATTAAATAAGTGAACGGAAAAAAAAAGTCCGTTATACATAATATGTCCTTTGTACTATTGAATCTGCAGTAATTGTTTTAAATCTATTAAAAATTCGGACTCGTTAAAGCGATTGATCTGGTTTATTTTGATAGTTGGGGGAAGCCCTAATTTCTCCCAAGTTCTGATTGGATCATGCAAATACCGTTTTTTGATTGGACAAAGTATATTACAAGATCTAGTGTAACATAACCAAAGTTTCAAATTTTGCCTATGAAACTACCTTCGTGTTCTTCGTGTTCTAATATGTTCCACTCAACCTTAATATTAACTACACTAATAAGTTTTATTATTTAAAATACAAATCATACTTGAAAATTTTAATAGTATCTGATCGAAAATCTGATGTAATCTTGTTAACCCCTGTAATTTAGCATCATGTGATATTAAACAGAAATGTAACACTAATGCCAAGAGTGCTAAGCGTTAACTATCGCTAAAGTAATATAGATAGGACCAGTAGTTCTAAAGTACTTATTACATTAATAGCGTTAATGCTTCCTTTAAAATTAGTGGTTCTAGTCAACTTGTAATTTGTAAAAATAGTAACAGAAATCGGAAGTTCAAAAGGTATAAATAGACTTAGAAATTACTCTTGTAAAAAACAGAACTCGAAGTTCCAACAACTTGACAATAAATAAAGAGTAAATCGTGTCTTCATACACGAACAACTCGAATAC